AAATATTTTATTAAGATGTCTTATGCCAAATTTTAATTTTTGTAAGTACATGAATTGTGTGTAAAATTTTATGACCTTGACTATTTACACTAATGAATATTTAGTGAATAGCACTTTGTTAGGGATTTAATGAAAACTTCCATTTGTCAAATATGTGCTTGTTTTCAAAATGTATATAAGAAGTGTTGAATTATTAAAAAACAGTATCAATAGGCATATCAGAGACACTGAATCTATATAGATCACAAAGACCCCATTTCAACCATTTCTTTTCACCACTGGTCTTACAAAGGTCCTTCTATTAATTAGTGAGATTAACAAGAGATTTTAAAAAATTCTCCATGTTTCACATGGAGCTACATTAATACAAGTAGAATACAGCCCTAAGAAATTTTTAAATTTAGTGTTATTTGGGAAATCCATTGAATACAAAATTTTCCATTTTTGAAAAGGAGAAAAGTAAAAGCTAAAAAATATATACTATTTTATCCAAGCTATCTGACAACATTAGAATTTATGGCTATTCAGATTCCAGTGTACTGCTGAGCCATGGTGTGGCCTGAATCTGGTGTGAGTGAATCATAGCTATGTAGCTTATAAAGCCAGAAGATGAAACTTCTGATTAATATAATTAAAATATAAGAACAATATCAATTTCTAGGCCAGCATGCATCCAGAAGATCTGGCAATACATTTCCTTTAGGAAAGTTACTGTCACCAATTCTGTTGCTACTATTTTTACTGTCATATATATGTGTGTGGTATATGTATCTGTGCATGTGTGAACAACTTTTATTTATTTAGAGACAAGAGTAGTTTAAAAATATACACAAATGAAGAGTTCAATTGATTTTACCTGCACTAATTAGTGGTGACATATGCTGACAAATTATTTTTACACCTCACTGGATGGGCAATGAATAGAGGAATTAAAAAACAATCCCCACATAGCATTTGATTCAGTTATATATTTGGAAAAAAAAAGACCTGATATTTAATATTTAAACAACTTGTTTAAATATTAAATAGAAATTTTTGCTCTGATTAATTAAATGAGAACAAAGCTTAGAAAATGTATTCTAATGCCTGCAATGCTTAACAAGACAGTATGACAAATAACACTTTTCGGCTATATGATGGCCAGAATTTTCTTCAAGAAGTACACTTCTATTTTTTTATTTCTATTAAAATATATTCAGATCACATGTGAAAAAAACTTGCTTATCATTCAGGAAACTTTCTGTACTGTGGCAGCGAAATGAAAGGGAGGAACTCAGCTTTAACAAAGCAGTTGGCAATATGTTCTGGTCTTTATTTGTCCTTGGTCTGGACTGGAATACTAATGACTTGAAAAATGGATCCTTTCCTACTTCAGTGTTGCTGAAGGATTCTTTAAGGAATTATTTTCTTATACTCACTACTTAAGCAGCACAAGGTTTCCTTTTATTTTGTGTTGTTTGTATATGAAGCATTTTATTGGTATTTCATTCTTCAAGAATACTGGAGTCAATAATTTGTTATTTCTCCTTTGAATTGGGGGGGAGGGTGGTATTGTCCTCACAGTTTGGGTCAGGAACCTAAGATAGAAGAAATATAAAATAAGCAAACATTTATGTTTGTCATTTAAATTATATATAGTCTCAATATTATACATATCCTTGATATTCTCTTTGAAATACTATGCTTTTTAGACCATAAATGCCTGCAATTAGAGATGTTTAACTTTATATGACTACAGTTTTCCATTCATTTCAAAGTCAATAATGGTTATTAAGTAATTAGTGTGTCTCAGAAGACATGTTCAGAAGAGAATAGAACATTTGTAATTTAATAATAATGGAATAACCCACTTGCAAAGTGCAGGACACTTTAGTCAATACTATGTATATGTGAGACCCTTTAAAAAATACCACTTGGGGGAACATTACCTGCTGGCTGAAGGAATTGTTCTTTATTTTATATTTGGTAAGAGAGAACAAGCAGAAGCTCTAACCCAAGGGAACTACGTTGTAACTGAACAGCATCAGGATATTTTTCTCATCCAATCTTGCTAAAGGGAAGATTATTCAATTATGAAAGTTATATTTTACAAGACATTTGGGTGGGGGGGGGGATGGAGCTAATAATGCAAGACGCAATAATTTCTAAAATCCATCTTCAATTTATTCCATGCAGTTCTTCTTTCCCCAATAGACAACCATTGTTATTAAACATGTTTTGTTAAAATTAAAAAGGCTAAGTATAACTTGATATTTTGAATAGCATTGATACATTAACGTTATGTTTCCTATAGATGAAAAACATACAATGTGTTGAACCACTAATAGCGACAAGTTCATTGTCCCCAGCCTTGATGTCAAAGCACAATGCAATCTGCCACACTGGGGATCCTATATCATCCTTCATTTCCTGACAGAGAGTCACCACTTTAACCCAGCTAACCAATGAAATACTGAATCTTACCTTTACATTTAGTCACGCCAGTTAATTTTACATGGGTTAACATCATCAAATTTTCTGACTAAATATATTTTTAAAACCTACTAATTGCTTTTAATAGCATTTTACTACATATGGAATAGTTGTTGAATATCTAGATAGATATCCAATATTTAATATTGTATTGATATACACTTATATGTTAATATTATATCACATACCAGAGTTAAAAATGCCCAGCTTAAGAAAAAAATATTTTAATCAGACTTTGGGAGCCTGTATACTATTCTAGATCCAATTCCATTCTCTGTCTCCTCAGAGAGAACCATTCTCCCGTGTTTACCATTGAATTCTTTCTCTTTATGATTTCACCACATATACTTATATCTTAATGAAACATTTAATTTTGCATGTTTTGAAGTTAGGTAAATAGAATTATAATACATATGAACTCTGAAACTTTTTTAGTTAGTATTATGTTCTTGAGATTCATCAACATTGTCTCAGGAAGTAACAATTCATTCTATATGGTACTCTACATTTGACTATATTTCAATCTCTTTTCCTATACCATTATTGATGGATATTTTGGAGACTTCTTGGTATTTTAAAACAACTTGTTACATGACCATTATTTGTACACTTTGTCTAGTGTATATGTAGAAGTCATTTGCTGGGAAAATGTAGCTGTGGAATTGCTGAGATATACGGCATTTAATTGTCAGCATTATTACACAATGCTAGAATGGTTTCCAAAGCAAATCACCACCTACCTCCTGCAACAGTATTCTTTACATTGTCACCAACATTTAAAGCTATTAGCTTTCTAAAATGTTTGCTAAACTGGTATATATCAAATGGGATTCACTTTGCAGTTTCTGGATAACTAATGCTGGGCATGTCTATAGGCCACACAGGTTCCTCCTTTTAGGATATTCTTATTACAAATATTTGCCCATTTTCTTATTAGGAGGTTTGTCTTATTCTTCACAGGTTTAGGGGTCTTTATACTTTGTTATCTATATGTATTGAAATATCATCTAAAGTGTACAATAATATATACTTAATTTCAACATAGTCAAATTTATCACAGATATTTTTTACTCAGATCTGCTGTGTTGTCATAAATCAAAAGTTTGATTATATGGGTCTGTTTTTGATGCATTCATCAAATTGTTTATCCGATACTCAGAAAATAGTGTCTCAATGTAGCTTTATTATAATGTTTGGTGTCTGGTAAGCTGTATTTCTTACTGCATCCTATTTATATTCTTTTTTTATTCTTTATTGATTAAGGTATTACATATGTGTTTTTATCCCCCTATTTCCCCCCACACCCCAGCTCATGCCCTCAGCCTCCTAGTGTCTGTGTCCATTGGTTATGCTTATATGAATGCATATAAGCCCTTTGGTTAATCTCTCCCTCTTCCCCACACCCTCCCCTGCCTTCCCTATAAGGTTTGATGGTCTATTGAATATCACATATTTGTGGAATACAATGAACAATATAAACTGATGAACAAAGACAGATCCAGAGACAGAGAAGCATCGATCAGACCATCAAACCTATTTATATTCTTTTAAAATATCTTGGTTACTCTAAGCCATTTTTCTTCCATACACTGAGAATCAGCTTTTAAGTTTTCTTATAACCCGTCATACTTTCACTAGATTCTATAGGACCTATTGATGAATGGTGGAAGAATACATATTTTTTATAATAGATCCTACAGCCCAGGGCATGATATAGTTCTCCATTTTTTGGTAATTTTAATTAATATCAATAAAATGTAATGAAATTATCTTTGAATGGCAATTTTATTCATTTTTATGGTTGTATGTCCTTAGTTGATTTTTTTGACCGAATATGCTAGATAAAACTTTCAGGGTAGCATTGAATAGAAATGATAATATTAAGTATTATTCATTTCCAAACCAGAAAAAAAAATACCTCAATATTTAAAGTATCAATTTTACTATAGACTTTGGTTAATATATTGTCAGAATAAGAAAATATTTTCTATTCTTAGTTTGCTAAGAATTTTTTTGTCATGTATGACTGTTGACTTTTTCAAGTGGGTTTTCTACAGCTATTCAGATAACCATGTTTTGTTTTGTTAATATTGATTGATGATCTACAAATTGTTATATTTTCACTATTAGTTTGTAATGTTTTCTCACTTGTATTAATTATATTTTCATCTTTTACCTGTGTGTGTTTTAGGAGTGTGTATATATTTACACAAATGTATATTTCTTTCTTTAGATTTGTCTCTACCACCTTATTTGTACTCCACTCCCCATCCCTAGATTTCCATTTTTATTTTTCCTCTTTTCTTCCTTTTTTTGGTATAGAATTTTGTTACACTTACTTTTTTCTTTAAGTCATCTGAAAGTTGAACATTATATTTTTATTTTAAAAGTTTTCTCTAGAAATATTTAAATGCCTATTTTTCTTTTCTTTTTTTTATTTTTTATTTTTTTTATTAGTTAAGGTATTACAAATGTGTCCTCATCCCCCCCATTAACCCCCAAACTCCCCCCCCCCCACACTCATGCTCCCATCCCCCTGTTGTCCATGTCCATTGGTAAGACAATATTCTGCTAATACAATTGATTTGCTGCTGCATTTGCCTACTGTTTGCCTAATATTAACAATTATAAACAGAGCAGTGCAACTAGTATTTGGAACAATCCTTACAGTGTTACAGTGTCGGGCACAACTTTTCACTTTTGTTCACACCACTGGTTCTCTCTGCGTACCTGGGCTTCCTCTTCTTCAGTAAAGTCATTTTTTATATTGAGGGTCTTGCGAATCTCTTCAGGGCTTTTCCCCTTGATCATATTGGCAACAGTCTTGCATGTAACATCAAGCAAACCTTTGATGTCTAAATAGTTTGCAGCCAGAATTAGTTCAAATAGTGTTCCTTGGTCAACTTTGAGGAATTCTTGGTCCCAAACAGGAATATCATCTGTTCGCTTTTCTTTGTTCTCATCATCGTCAGGAGGAGGAGGGTCATCCCTGTGGTGGGTGCACCACTGAATGAGCTTTTTTAACATTGCTGCATTAACATTTTATTTTCAATATTTGAAATTAATCAGTGTCTGTACTCTCATTCAAAATAATTCAAAGAGTTTTAACAATTTGATTCTCACCACCTCCCTCCTGTGTATTTATTTCTTGGTGTTTTAGTTTGAAACCTTTTGAAACTTAAAATAATTTATTATTGATTTTCCTCACTCAATTGCTATTTATGTTTAACTTTATATTTACCACTATATTTGCATGTTATTCTTTTTCACATTCTAGCATTTCCACTGAGATGAATTTTCCTGTACTTTTTAAAAATTGTCTTTACAATTTCTATTAATGAGAGTCAATATAATAAATATTGTTTTAGATTATTTGAAAATAATCTGTTTGACCTTTTCACAAGTGCTACTGAGTAAATATTTTATCATATTGAAGATATGCATTCAGCCCTGGCCAGTGTGGCTCATTTGGTCGGGCATTGTCCCATGCACTGAAAGGCTTCCAGTTCAATTCCCAGCAGGGCATATGCAGGCTCATTCCCCTGTAGGGGGTGTGCAGGAGGCAGCCAATCAATATTTTGCTCTCACATCGATGTTTCTCTCTCTTTTTCGCCCTCTTCTTTCTTCTTTCTAAAAACCAATAAATAAAAAGATATGTGTCCATTGTCTTCTAACTTGCATTATTATTTCTGAAAAGCTGTGGTGGATAGATTCCAGGATAGATCATGATTATCCAAACCATCTGGAAGTCCTTGTGTAACATATTCTTGATCACGGACAAGACTTGTGATTTACTTCAAACCAGTAGAATTTGATAAAAACTTCCACCACTATTATCTATAATAATAAAAGCATAATATGCTAATTAGACCAGACAGCCAAACGACCTTCCGGATGTCATTCCGGACTAAGCCTCCGTGACCGTGGCCGAGGTAGAGACGGTTAGGGGCGATCAGGCAGGCAGGCAGGCAAGTAGTTATGAGGCAACAGTCCTGGATTGCAAGAGGGATGTCCGACTGCCGGGATCAGGCCTAAACCGGCAGTCAGACATCCCCTGAGGGGTCCCGGATTGCAAGAGAGTGCAGGCCGGACTGAGGGACTTTCCCCTCCGCACCCCCTGCATGAATTCGTGCACCAGGCCTCTAGTGTTTCATAAGATTATAATGTAAGTTTTCTGAGCTGTCTCCTTCACTGGCTTAGAAGAAGCAAGTTTCTATAAGCTGTTCTATGGAAAGGAATTTAAGGCAGCTTTTGGTTAACAGTCAGGTACTGAGAAGTCTGGAATCCTGCCTGGAACTGAATGCTGCCAACAATACATGTGAGCATGGAAGAGTGTCCTTCCCCTGTGTACTTTCTGATGAGTACACAGACCTGGCTGACATCTTCTTTGCAGCCTTATAGAAGAACAAACTGAGCCACATCTGAATTTCTGGCTCACAGAAATTACGACATAATAATGTGTAATTTTTTGCTGCTAAGTTTGTGATACTATTCTTTGGCAACAATATATGAAATATGTATTTTAATACTTGGAAATAGGATCCTGGAGTAACAAATATCTAAATATTGTGAAAGTGGCTTTGAAACAGGACTATGTACTGAGGTTGAAAAAAATTAATAGTATGACATATAAAGACTAATTTGTCTTGAATAGGCTATTATTATTAGGAATCTGTACTTAGAGGATACTCTCAGTGAGTGTGCAAAAAGGAGTGAAACACTGGCAGAAAACACAAAAGTGTGGCTTATAATTAGGTAGAAAGCGAAACATAAAAGTGATAAGCTTGGTTAGGTAGTTAAGGAGATTTTCAGACAAAGTGTGAAAGCCGCTGTTTGGTTTCTTCGTGATGCTTTTAGTAGAATATAATAGAGGAAAGATAATTGGAAGAATTAACTGTTAAACAAAAAGGAAGCATGATTTAATACTCAGCCTCCTTAAAGTCACAGGAGATCCAAAAATTAGCTCAGGAAACTATTTCAGTGAAAATTCTGTCAACTTGGTGAGAGAGACAGAGAGAATGCAAAATGAAAAGAGTTCTTTGGAGGTCCCAGAATTCTATCTTCAGGCAGCAGACTGATTAAAATACTCAGCTTTGAACATGTGATACATTTCATTAACTTGGACTCAGAGGACAGAAACCAGAGTTCAGAAGGCAGAGCTGAAAACCAATGAAAATTATTCCTAGGATATAAAACCTAATCAACGGATCCCAATATTTTTCAACCAGGATTTTAGAACTTCTTTAGACCACTGTCTATTTTATACCTCCAAATGTATCCCTTATTGAATGGTGATTTTTGTAGGTGTTATCCTATACCTATTTCGCCATTGTATCTTGGGTGTATGTAAGGGAATGGATGGAAATCTGGAACAGACAGACTCTAAGATGGGTCTCAATTATCCCCACATTTTTGCAAAATATCATCTTGAATACGAACAAGACTTATGGCACATTTCTAATATTATTTAATTGTTTTTTTCTCCAAATCGCAAATTTTCATTTAAGTCCCATTTTCTACTAAGCCCTGCTATTGGTTTCTAATTTATTTTTTTTCTGAGAGAATTATTTTTTATTTTCAAATCTACTTGAACATTTTTAAAGTCATTTGATTATTACTTGCATAGTCAGTCCAATAATTTGTTCTATCAAAGGTATTAACTATTTAATCTCTTACCTTCTAATATTTGAAGTGACCATAAGCAGTAATGATTAGCCAGTTTATTAGTTTATTTTTGCTCTACTTCTGCTTCCTTGTTTCCTTATATTTTTGAGTTCCTACTCCTTGGAGAACTACATGTAGGTTTTGTGGAGACCTAAGTTAGAATTTGGTTTCTAGAGAAGATGTGTGATTGTTTCTGGCAGATGCTTGTGAATAACACAGGGTGGGGCAAGAGTATGTTTACAGTTATGAGTATACAAAATACTGTGTTCACTCTTGAATTATTATCTATTAATTATGGTGTTATTTTCCATACAAACACCTGCCCCACCTTGTATAATTCCCATTACTATTTTACAATATATTTATGATGTGAAATTCTAATAACAAACAAGATAACTTGTACTATTGGCTGAAAACTTGGCTGGAGCTTACCCTTGTTTACTAAATCTCTGGAGAGACTTTTTGTCCATTTAGCAATATTTGTCAAGCAAAAGATTTTCTTTGAAATCATCTCAGCAGTGGGCAAGGTTGTTTAAAATGTGCTCTTAAATTATTGACCAGGGCTATAGGATCTGGCTTGACTTCACCCATGTTTACAAATGCCTTCAAAGTAAATGCAGGATTCTATCTATGCTTGCCTCCTGGGGTTCCTGCTTTCACTTAATGTTTGGTCTCAGAGTATTAACCAAGAACATTTAAATGAGTGTTTAACAAAACAATTTAGCAATGTTTTTACATGTTTTCAGAGAATGGGTTGATCAGGGTAATAAATCAGACAACCTTCTGGAAACAAAATTTCCTCCTAATTCTTCATACTTTTGTTTAAACTTCACATCCTTTCTGACTTAAGTCCCAGGTTCTTCACCTTCTTATAATTCTTTACAGAACTTATGGTCTGAAAAACTGCTATTGACTGTGTACACCAAAATTTTTAACTCTCAAAGTGACTATATTTAGAGATAAGGCCTATAAGAAGGTAAGGTTAAATGAAGTCATAGTGTGGAATCCTGATTCAATAGGATCACTATATTGTACGAAGACACAGCAGAGCCCATACTCTCACTCCCTCTCCACCATGTGAGACACAGGGAGGTGTCCTCATACAAACCAGAAAGAGAGCCCTTGCCAGAAACTAAGTTGATCAGCACTTTGATCTTGGACTTCCCTGCCTCCAAAAGTTAGAGAAATAAATTTCTGTCATTTCAGTCACGCAGTTTATGAGATATGGTATTGCAGCCTGAGTAGACAAACACAGACTTTGGTACTGGCAGTGAGGTGCTGCTATAGCAAAACTAAACAGGGCAGCAGCTTTGGACTGGGTAATGGGTAGAGGCTGGAAGAGTTTTGAGGTGCATTTTAGAAATATGGTTGTTAGGAAAATTCTAGTAAGGTCTCAGGTGCAAATGAAAAACATGTTTTTAGAAAGTGGGAGAAAGACAATTTTTATTATAAAATGACAAAAATGCAGCTGAACAGTGCTTTAGTGTTTTTGTGAAAGGTAAAAGTTGGAAGCAATAGAATTGGATATTAGCTGAGGAAATTTCTAAGCAAAGTTTTGGAAAATTAGCTTGGTTTCTCTGGACTGCTTACAGTAAAATGCAAGAGAAGGGATATAGATTTTGTCAGGAATTGTTAAGCATAAAAGAACCAGAACTTGAAGATTTATATAATCCTCAGTATATCCACATTGGAATAAAAAAGAGAGAGGCCAGCCAGTGTGTCTCAGTGGTTGATCATCAACCTATGAATAAGGAGGTCATGGTTCGATTCCTGGTCAGGGCACATGCCTGGGTTGTGGGCTTGATCCCCGGTATGGGGTGTGCAGGAGGCAACTGATCAATGATTCTCTCTCATCATTGATGTTTCTAT